TAATCAAATATCATATACAACCATTCCCAAATCATGATACATACCTCAATTAATACAATTCCAATAAGTAAGGTACAACTCAAATGGTACACATAGCAAAGCAATAAATGACCATAAATATCAAATGCATCCTCCAAGACAAGTAATTGACATTTAAGATATAGAAAGTAATAACAAAAGAGTTGCCCTTTCTTTAGCACATTCAAACCCTAGTCTTAAAAACCAAATTCCATAGTGCTTTGTTTTATCAAATATGTGCATATAGATATCAACTAGAGTTTTCTACTATATAAATACATATCCATAAACATTAAAGAAAGATAAAGATGTACCAGAAAAAACAGAGATCTGAAATAGTAGTAAAAGAAGAGGGAGGGAGGGAAAGATAATGGGGAGCCATGATGATAACTGGTTTGGAATGTGTGATGACCATGTGGGAGGGTGTGTCATGGGCGGGTGCGAGACACTGGCAGGCTACCACACTGGTGAGCTACAGGTGTACAGTCCCATGTCACCTAGGTAAGGGAAAAATGAAGTGCTTATATGTAAGCGTGTCATTTCATTTGGTATGAGACTTTTTGGGGTAAAACCCAAGAGTAAAATTGTGCGAGCTTAGGCCCAAAGCGGACAATATCATACCATGTGGTTGAGTGGGTCGTTACAAATGGTATCAGAGCTTGACCTAGCCGGAAGTGTGCCAACGGAGACGTCGGGCCTCCAAGGGGGGTGGATTGTGATGACCCTGTGGATGGGTGTGTCATGGGACGGTGCGAGACACTGACAGGCTACCACATTGGTGAGCTACGGGTGTACAGTCCCACATCGCCTGGGTAAGGGAAATGTGAAGTGCTTATTGTTGTGTAATTTTACTCGTAATAGAACGATTCCTTGCACAATAGTGCTATAAAAAGAGATGTCGAACCCACAGAGAGAAGAGATTTGTATTTCAGTCTTTAACTTTGTTCTATGGTTTACAGGTAACTTGGTTGGAAAGTTTGTTGGTTGTCACGATTTAACAAACTAGAATTAAAAGTAAAATATCAAATAAAAGCAAAGTAAATAAATTGAGTGATCAGAGAGAGAGAGGAATCTTAGGGTTTTGACTTCACCACAACCATATACTATAGTTAATTATACTAACTCTGGGAATTTAATAATGATATTTTCCAAAGGAATTGAACTCAATAACATTCATTTAATTCGGGTTTTAAAGAAAGATATTTTACAAAATTAGCTAACTATAACCTATCTGCGGTTAACGTGGATTATCCGTCTACCTACTCTAACTCCTCTAACTACGTTAACTATGTTGTGAACAATCCACCTTTCCTAAGCATAGACTATGAAAACATTCTTTTGCAAAATACATTGGAATACCATTATATGACCTCTATTCTTGTGTCCAGCAGGGCTCCACTAGATACCGTACAACAAGGTAGGTTGAGAATAGAAAACAGACTATTACATCTAAGACAAAATAGTAATAATTTATAATCTATTAAAACATGGAAACCACTTGAGTTATCTCAAGCGCTCACAGTCATATAATCAAGAAAATACATATATTAAAATTAATCCCATAGTTAAAACAATCAAACCATAGTATTTAGGTTAGGTTACATCAATGCCCTAAGAGAGAAATTAGCTACTCATGACAAGGTTGGATATCATCTGTGTTGAGTTCATCTCCTTCGTCACGGACGGCACTTCTCTTCTCAAGATCTTCACTCTTAAGGTTATAGAAATCCTAAAAGCCACCACACATTCAGCCTTCTGAATACACCGGCAAAGGGATTGAAATTTTGGACCCCTTCTATCAAGGCTTACGCCTTCTTTTATAGAAGAAAATAATATTTGGTGGGCTTTTAGGTCTTCTGGCCCAACTGGGATAAAATACAGCTAATAAAGAGAGCAATCTCATACTTTAAATGTGACATGTTATGGAAGGCTCGAGCTTCAATGAATGGTGCTCGATCTTCACTTTGACACTTAGCCAATTTTCTTCAACTATTTCCCAAAGCGTCTTTTTCTTCAACACTTAGAATATTTCTAGGACTGGATTTTTTTAACATTGCTCGATCCAAGCTTCTTGGGCTCAAGCACTAGGTACAAGGCTTGAGCATTTAGGACACTAGGCTTGAGCTTTAGGACACCAGGCTCGAGTTTCAGTTGTTAGTGCTCGATCCTTAATGGATGGTGCTCGATCCTGGAAGTGAGGCGCGAGACCTGGGAGCATAGCCTTACAATTAAATCAACTTTTTAATTTCCGATGCCTCATGCTCGAGCTTGAGGGTCAAGGCTCAAGCACCCTTGGTTAAGGCTCAAGCACCATATGGTAACGCTCGAGCTTCAAGGTATGAGGCTCGAGCTTTTGAGCCTTGTTGACTTTTCTTCTTTCTTTGTTGTGATGCTCGAGCCTCAACACTTGGGTTTGAGCTTTAAGGCTTGAATATCTTCAAACTTCACCATTTAAGCTATCGGCTTGCTCTGAATGACCGGCAACGACTCTGTAAGCTTCGGTATCATCATAAAGTCTCGGTTTTAACCATTTATCTGGGAAAGTACCTACAAACACACATTAAACATAAATTAATCTAACTATGGATAGAAGTATCACTTTAGATCTTAACAGATATGTATTTAGGGGCTCGAATATGCATATATTCAGCGCTCATCACTTATATATAGGTGTGTCATTCCAATTGGTATGAGTCTTTTTGGGGTAAAGCCTAAGAGTAAAACCATGCGGGTTCAGGCCCAAAGCAGACAATATCATACCATGTGGTTGAATGGGTTTTTACAAAATGTGGGCAATTTGGATTAATCAGAAGTGTAGTAAAAAAAACTGAAAATCAAATCCAAAGCTCACATTATCACAATCATGGTACACTGACTTAATCTAATTATTCTTGTTTTTTCTTTTTCTAGGGGATGAGTTCTTAGTGCAGATGGTAAATTAGTTATGGCGATTAGTTGGCACCATCACCTTCCTTTCCGTTCCATCCTCTGGCGATCAAGGGTGAATCCCAAACTTCCTCTTTACTGGTCAGCTGGTCTTCTTCCTCGTTGAGTTTTTCCGATTCCATTCATCGGCGACGAGCTTGCGTGGATTCATCCCATTGCCAGCTAGCGATCACATCATATGACCTCATGCTTACGTCTGTGGCATACTTGCATATTGAGCAAGTTCAGTGTTTGGGGTTGAATCTTCTAGATGACTTATCTAGTTGGCTTCATTTAGTCCAAGGAAAGCAATCATCTTGCAGTAGTATTTTAGTCAAAGTTTGTGTGTTCCTTGAGCTGCCACGTCTACACAATGTTTTGGTTAGGTTGGTGGGGCTATCATATGGGCTTGCTGATCAGATGAGACAATTTTTGAGCCCACAGTTGAATAATGACCAGCACAATGGCCCGTGTAAATATGGGCTTTGTTTGTTATCTGTCCCATGCATTTGTGTGTAGTGTTGTTGTGTTTGGTTGTGCTTTGTAAATGCCGTATGACTGTTTCTTATTACCAGGATTAAAAATAATAATAATAATAATAATGAAAGACGATGAAGAATAAAAAAGTAATAAGTAAATTACAATCACTTTCAATAAGATTTGTAATAATTACAAGTACCTCCTTTTTTATTTAAAGAAATTATAGTTGTAGCAGTTTCGAGACCCATGGTTCTTAATGTAATTACTCTATTATTACTTGGTCATGTGTTCGAAAATATTCCCTTATGCTATGTTTGGTTGGAGAGAAGAATTGAGGAGGGATGGATGAAAGCTCTTCATGTTTGGTTGGAGGGAATGAGGAGGAAGTGAAGTATCCCTCCTACTTTGTAATTTTCTATCTGCCCAAAATTGGGAGAAAATGAGAGAGAGAGAGAGAAAAAAAAAAAAAAAAAAGAAAAAAAAAAGATAACTAACCATTATTGAGTAATTTACATTTTTAACCCTTCTAAATATTCGAAATAAATATCTAATTTTTATAATTGGATATAATAAGGGTATATTAGTAAAAAGAATATAAAAACTGTATTTCCCTTCCTTCCAACCAAATAAAAAAAAAATGTTACACTATCCATCATTTCTACTATTCGTTCTATTCAACCAAACAAAAAAATTAGGGGAAACATTTTTCCTTCCCTAGGGATGCCTACTCTCCCTCTCCCTTCCATCTATTTTCCCATCCCTCCACGGGCAGATCCGGAAATGCATAATGGAGTGGGCTAATCTATTCTAGGGTGGGCTAGTACAACTATTTTTATTTTTTTATTTTTTAATTTTTTTTTTTGGGTTGGGCTAAAATTACCTCTAGATTTTTTTTTTTTTTTTTTTTTTTTTTGGGGGGGCTCAAGCCCACCAGAGCTCACTCCTGGATTTGCCCTATCCCTCCAACTAAATGGAGCATTAATATTGAAGAAATGGTCATGGTTAAAGTTCATAACTAAAACAATTTTTTAGATAAAGTTCCACACTCCAAAACTGAACACAATGCTCTAAATTGTGTGGACTTAAGAGATCAATCAATTTCACCATCAAGATTGCTCTAAATTGCAGTAATTGTGTGTGTTGTCTAGCCCCTTACATTAAGCAAAATGAATTTTATGCAAATATTATTGTGTGCATATTCCTCATTCAATTGTCAAAATTGCCCTTATCACATAACTTCTCAACCATAAATTGGCCCCAAGAATTAACCATCAAGGATGCTTTGCAAAAATTTGATGTTTCTTTTCTAATTAAATTTATTTCTAAGTGACCTCTAGATCTACGTGGATTGCACCAATTCGTTATTAAGTCTGGTGAAACTCCGTATTTTCGGCCAGAGGATAAGGTACAGACACTATTTCTTTTAGTTTAATTTGCGCGCGCGCGCACGCATACATATGTATCTCATCACAATTGTTTGTATATACATGTTTATCCTAAACATTATATAGACTCGATGACAGAAAAAAAGTAAGTAACAAGTATGTAGATTATTGAAAAGAACAAAAGGGACAATCTTGTCAAAACATAAATTATCATGTATAACCTGATTAATCTCCAAGCAATGAATCATTGACTAGAAACTGTACATACACCGCAGGCACACTTTTTATTTGGAGACTTGAATCTCACCATCTGCACTGAGAGATAAAGAATATACCACTTGGCCACAAGGCCCTTAGTGATGTTTCATCAAATGAACAAAGATGTTTTTACATGATAATTGTTAGCCTCGTCTCTGCCTTTTAATTCTCTCAAGGGCACCGAGAGGGCCATCACCATCCTTGGCATCAGCAGTATCATCTCCCTCTCCATCCTCCTCAGCCTCCTCCCTACTCCGGACCAAGCCACCGAAAACTGCTTCAGGGACATCTTTTTGTGAAATCTCAACTGTTTCATCATCCGACTCACTTTCCTCTGGCAGCTCAATATCCTCCTGATTTGCTGCAGTCTGAGATTCCACTCCAGCACTCACAAACCCAACTTTCCTGCCACCATCTCCAGTAGTAGTTGGCTTACTGTTATTATTGGCTGAAGGCGCCAAATGCCGCTCTAGAGCAGCCATTTCATCTTCAGGAACCCCAGCCTTTTTCAATGTGTCCATCGCTTCGTCAACATTTTGCTTGCCATCCTTTTGCATCAAATACTCAGGAAGAATGAAGTGTGTCTGGAAGAAGGAGAATTAGTTAGAACTGAAATAAGAATATGTAAGAAAAATGCAAACTATAAGGATCTAACATCTTAATAGTCACAAAACAATCAACTCAATTACATTCACAAAAACAATAAAACAGTGAGGAGTCCCCCACCACTGCAGGGTTAGGGGCAAGATAGAGTCTTTCCGACATGGCCTAATCAAGGAACAATGAATTAGAAAATATTGAGAAAGCCGTTTGCTTGTTGCCAAACCCTTCGTCACTGGAATATTACAGAACGATCTAAGGAGGGTAATGTTTAGGACAAAATAGGGTTGAAGATGGCCAGTACCACTCTTTACTTGCCATGGTAAGATTTGCTTACCACTTGGAGTAATCAGACTGACTTTCTATTCTAAGGGAAAGGCGTGAAAGCTATTCCTGTAATAGGATCGCCTTTGGAATCCGAAATTTCTTATGACTTAATTTGAAAGTTTTATTTGACTAAAATAGTTTCATTAGCTGCATTTCAGTGGGTAAGCGAGCCCGTTTACATCAGTACGCACATAGACAGGTTATTTCCCATTATGAACCCATGGCAACTGGAATCAAAGAATTAGTAGATCTGTTCCGTCTAAAATGGAAATGGGCTAGAGTTATTGTGACAACCCGAATTGATAGATTAGGATTAAATCATAATTAATGATTGATATTAGCTTTATTGGAGACTTAGTTTATATTACTTGGGAGATTGGAATTGTGAGGCAAAAGTTTAATTTTATTAAGCTCTTGGTGTGACTTATTAATTTAGTGGAGGATGTTGGCGAAAAAAAAGAAAAAAAAGATTCCTTAGTGGAAGTTTAGGTGGCAGCCTTAGAAGGAACCTTGATGGACATAAGATTATGAGAAGTTGACATGTGATCTCCACACACTCACCCTTTACACATATACGCGTATACGTAGAGATGCATATGATATTATCTTTACTACAGAATTGAAGGAACAGCTTCCTTTGGAAGCTTTGACCTGATACATATAAAGTAGATATATGTATATATGAGGTATTGCCAGCATAAACTCACAATACACGACATATGTCACTCATGACTTAAATAATTATAGCTAATGCTTCATTTTGAAAGAAAGAAAAAATATTGCTTCCGGACAAAACAAAAAGAAACAGTGAGCTTTAACAGAGGGGACCGACCATGGAAAAGAAGAGGCAGAAGGAAAGAAAGGCTGGAGAAAGGAGAGTAAAGAAGGAATTAAGGTTCATCACTTTCATTCCATCATCTCATCCATGTTCATTGAGGTAGGATTTAATCATGCATTGAATGTAAGTGTTGTATCAGATTTTGGGAATACATATATGTGAATGAGGGTGACTTTGATTGAGGGTTTCGGAAATTGTATTTTGTCATAGCCCCTATTTCGGGTCGTTACAGTTATGAACTTATAATCATGAAATCGGATCATCAGATATAGGTTATAAGTTCATTCCATACCAGACCAGACCGGAATAGGGTTATACACATTCTCATTACAGTTATGAACTTATTTCGATACGTTTGAGAAAGGGTCATTCAAGCGTATCGAAATAAATAGAGTAACCTTACTGTTGTGATACCCACCCTCATTAAAAGAAAGAAAGAAAGAAAGAAAGAAAGAAAGAAAGGGGAAAAAAAAGAAGAAGAGGATCGACTCATTTTAACTCAACAAAGCATTTTCCCAATTACTTGGAATTGGATACATTAATCTTATCTTCTATTCCGCTCTAAGGCCATATTCTTAGCCAAACCAAGTGTTACCATATATTTCCTTATTACACCTATTATACTTTTTATTTACTCTTTCCCCTAATATTACTTTCAATATGAACTATGTCACAAAGTGGCGTAGTAGGCTATCTTCTTCACGCATGTTCAAACCATCTTAATCAATTTTCTCTATTTTATCAACAATTAGTGCCACTTCAATCATTTCAAATATATTTCTTTAAAGCATAAATTATTGGCCACTTTCCAATGGAAGGTTGTCGTGACTGATTACGACTTCCAGTGAAAATTGATTTCTTCCAGAGATTTTGGCAAGAAACCAATCAGAGTTGAACACGTGACTTATTAAAAGGGGCCACACCAGAAACTGAACTATTGATCACTTTCCAATGAAGGTTTCCGTGGCTGATTCTAATGGAAAGGTGATATGCAAACGAGGATGCAATCATAAAGTGACACGTGCATTGAAATGAGAAAACCATCTACTAAAAGTAACCGCCTTAGGACACGTGGCAGCCAAGGAAGAAAGCAGTTCCTGTAGTTGGAAAGTCAGGGAACACGTGGCACGGTGGCAGCCAAAGAGGTAGTTATCTGCAGGTGGAAAGTCGCGGGACACGTGGCTGGCAAAGAGGTAGGCAGTTACCTATAGTTGGAAGTTGTATCTGCTATGTGGGACACGTGGCAGATTTCCAGTGGAAAAGCGGTTATTCCAGTGGAAGGTTGTGCGGTAAAGTGAGAGAAACAGCAACACGTGGGTGTAAGATAGAAGAGTTTGGTGGCAAACATTAATTCCAATGGAAAGTCGTGCAAAAAAATAGCAGAAACGTGGGAGAACATGGTCTAACATACGTAAGCATTATGTTTGTATATATGATACCACGATTTATGGTATGACTTACCATAATAGCAAAGATTTGATTATGCATCTAATAACATTTATTTATGTTTACAGTTAAGCATAATCCAGATGGGTCAGTTGCTCATTACAAGGCCCGATTGGTTGCCAAGGGTTATGCTCAGACTTATGGCATAGATTATCAGGAGACTTTTACCCCTGTTGCCAAGATGAATACCATCCGAGTTTTATTTTCCGTTACTACAATTCGATCTTAGCCTCTATTTCAGTTAGATGTCAAGAATGCCTTTCTCAATGGTGATTTGCAGGAGGAGGTGTACATGGTTCCTCCTCCGGGCTTTCGTTCTCCTACTCATTCTGGTATGGTATGTCGTCTTCGTCGTTCTCTGTATGGCCTCAAGCAGTCTCCTCGAGCTTGGTCTGATCGCTTTGGCACTGCTATGCTAAGTTTGGTTTCCATCAAAGTGCAACAGATTATACCTTGTTTTTACGTCATTCAGGTAGTAAAACAGTTGCTCTCATTGTGTATGTCGATGATATTGTTCTTACCGGTGATGATACTACCGGAATTGATGAGGTTAAGAGCTATCTTGGCCGTCAGTTTGAGATTAAGGATCTTGGTCTCCTACGGTACTTCTTGGGCATTGAGGTGGCTCGCTCCAAGACTGGCATTTTCATCTCTAAACGCAAGTATGTTCTTGACTTGCTTTCTGCTTCTGGTCAGCTTGGCGCTCGTCCTGCTGATACTCCAATTGAGCAGAATCATCGGTTGGCTGATTCTGAGGGGGAGGAGTTGTCAGTATCAATGACTTGTGGGGAAGCTCATCTATTTATCAATGACTCGACCTGACATTGCTTATGCCGTGAGTGTCGTGAGTTAATTCATGCACTCTCCTCGTGCCCCTCACCTTGATGTAGCTATTCGGATCCTTCGCTACTTAAAAGGGTGTCCAAGCCATGGTATTTTGTTTGCCAATCATGGTCACTTACATGTTGAGGCTTGGACAGATGCTGATTATGCAAGATCAATTTCAGATAGGAGGTCTACTTCAGGTTATTGTACCACTATTGGTGGTAACTTGGTTACTTGGCGCAGTAAGAAGCAGGATGACGTCTCTCGATCTAATGCGGAGGCAGAGTATAGGACTATGGCTCTTGGGGTAGGTGAGTTGCTTTGGCTGAAAACCTTGATGACAGACTTGTGCCTTCCAGTGTCGCTTTCATTCTCACTCTACTGCGACAACAAGTCTGCCATTAGCATAGCAGCAAATCCCGTTCAGCATGACAGGACTAAGCATATAGAGGTGGACCGTCACTTCATTCGAGAAAAGATCATCTCTGGTCAAATTTGCACTCCATTTGTCACAAGCTCTCAGCAACTTGCAGACATTCTTACAAAGGGCGTCAGTAAGATTGTGTTTGAGAATGCATTGTCCAAGTTGGGCGTTTTAGATATCCACGCACCAACTTGAGGGGGAGTGTTAGCATATATGATACCACGATTTATGGTATGACTTACCATAATAGCAGAGATTTGACCATGCCATAAAATATGCTTTAAAATAAGTTGTGATTTGATTTTGATTTGATTTAGTTTCCTTTCTTGTAATATGAACATGTGCTCATTTTATCTATAAATATTAGAGCTGTAAATGAGTAATTCATATCATTCAAGCCTTTACGCAATTCTCTCATTTCTCTTCTTTTTATATATTTCTACTCATTATGAGAAGACTAAGGGAGACCTGGGACACTCGGCACAAATCGGACGTTCCACTTGGAAGCATCACAGCTACTGTTGGAACTACCTGCAATAACTGCCATTAGAGAACTTTATAAATAGGACAAAGAATTCTTACCGGCCTTGTATTCAACCCTTCTCAACATACAACTCAAACAACACTTCAATTTTCATTCAATTCCAATTATCTATACATTCCAGCAATGTACTTTAATTATGTTTAATTCAAGTCCTGAACTTTCAATACTTTATTTTCATTAATTGTTCTTCAATTCCTTTACTTTCAGTCCTCCACTTCAATTCTCTTTACTCTTCAGCCCAAGTCCTTTATCAAAGGCAAAAAGAACCTTGGGGGTCATCATTCCAAACCTCATCCAATTGCCGCATTCATTCCATTTCCATTTGGAATATAGTTTGGACGACTCTCACTTGGAACTTTTGCAGTTCCTGACACGCCCGTTGGAACTGAAATTTTTATAGCCCAAACAATATTCATTTCTAATTATATTTTCTTGTATTGTCACACATCCATGTCAACATTCGTATTTCTGCCACTCACTTTATACACATGTTGACTTTTAACTACCCAACATTCTATCCCATAAATAAATATTGGTTGGCTGCTCGACGGTAAGGTTAAGGAATAGGAGAAGAAGAGTGTGTTGTATGGGCTTCCTCTACATTTATGGTGCCAGAAGCTGTTCGAAGCCATAGGTGATATGTGCGGTGGTTTCAGAGACGTGGAGGTGGACGATCTGTCCACTGGAGAAAGAGTTATTCTCCTTGTACTTGATGGTGGTGTGATTCTGGAGTACTTGTCTAGTTTCATCAATTAAAATAATATAAACAGCAAATAAGACGCATTGAAATCTCATTATGAATGTGTCTTGCCAGTTCATTTATAACTAAGGCAAAAAGATATGACTTAATGTTGACCTTTGATGTAAGCCTGCAATAATTGAAAATTTAATTGTTTTTCCACGGTCGTTCTAACTAGAGTCACACATCCATCTTACACATCTTTATTGTATTCTTTAAACTCTTTTTTTCCTTGCTTTGTTTTAAATATTGAACTAATAAATAAAATCTGAAGTACTAAAAAAAATTCATTCATGCTTACGTAACACTTATTTTTCTTTTTCTTCCTTTTTTTGTTCGAAAAGGGGGAAACTATATACAATATCATAAAACTCAATAATACTATGTGGTGCTATGGTGATCCTTGTGGGAGAGGAAACTCCCATTGGGATGCTTCAGTTCTCTATTCTTAGTACTTTTTTTTTTTTTTTGGCTTTTGGCTTCCAGGGAGAAATTGTAAATCTACGGAGGAGTTGGTGGATTTTGTGGATACGTTGAGTGGTGAGGGGGCCCATTTGGTCCATGTGTAGTTTTTTGGGGATGTGCTCCCCTTTTGAGGCCCTTTCATAATACTTTACTTATCCAAAGAAAATAAAGCTCAATACTGCTATGAAAAACCTTGGGGCAGTTTCCTATATGTTATGAAGTAAATGAAGGCAGAAAAAAGTATCAACGCTCATACACACAGGAAAACTGCTACACTATCAAAATTCCCAAGTGAAGTCAAATATGGGCATGATAAATAGAATCAACTTGATCAGAAAGAATAATTTGAAGAAGAAAAAAAGTGATAATACCTGGCTATAGCTCGCAGAAACACTCCGTTTAATTCGAAGCATTTCACGGAAGGTGTCTTCATTTCCATGCTGCACCTCAAACTCGTGCCATTTGTTCCAGATATCAGGATCAGATCGTGGATCTGCAAACTGAGATGCATATACATATACTGCACGAGCACGATCAATTTCTCCAAGGCTCTTTTCCAGCTCAGCATATCTCATGCACATGGTCTTCACATCTTTCTCAGGAAGACCAGATTCTATGGCTTGCTCATATATCTCCCTTGTTTTTGGAACCCCGAAAATCTCAGCAGCACGAGCTATGTAAATCTCATACATGCTTAACTTTTCAGTGGCTGGGACAGCCTTTGTAGCTTGATCATAAACCTTCATGGCTCGCTTTGCTAGACCGTAGTCCTCCTCTAGTTTAGCATATTGTAGGTACAACGGCTTCACAGCTTCAGCAGGGGCCTGATAGACAATAAGTAGAGTAAAGACGATATTAAGTAAAGAAAGTAAAGTGTTTAATTTACCATACTTGCCAAATATACACACACACACACACGCACGCACACATATATAACCATCATTCAACTCAAAAACACACTTATCAATGTTTTTTTTAAAAAAAAAAACAAAAAAACAGAATAACAATCACTCAACAAAAACCACGGATTCTTTTGGGATGGGCTAGTTTTTGGGTTAGCTTTTGGCTTTGTTGGCCTCTGGGCCTTTCAAACTTTTTTGTATATTCCTTTTTTCTGGTTAATAAAGTTGAATTATGGGGAAAAAAAAAAAAAACCACAGATTGCAGAAAATATCTATTGACCTTGACCAAAAAGATCAATTTCTTCCTCAGAAGAAATGAAAAGATTAGGAAGCCAAGAGGACTGTGATCAGTTAGAGAAGTGAGTAATTTTTTTTTTTTTTAAATCAGTAACACCGAGCAAAAATAAATAATCAAGTTCTGAAAGACGCACAATAAAACTGGTTTACAGCATTTGAGATAATATTGTTTCTGCAATCGTTTAGTGATGCTACAGCATTCCTTGTTATTCCCATAGAATTAGCTTATTAATGATAATTCTCTTGTTATGCCACTACTTTTAGATTACTTTTGCAATTTTGGCTCCTCAACCTTGCTGAGCTAGCTCATCTGACGGTTTAAAACTAAAATGGCTGTCAATAGATGAAAAGACAATTTTTTATTTTGGGGACTACATGTGAAGACTCCTTGACCCCTCAAGATTCCTCAAGCTATGGATCTTTAAGGATTTCAGCACTGAGAACAATTTTATAAATTGCGTGCCATTACTGATTAGTTAATAATGAACTACTCAAATCATGTTACCAGGAGAATAATTCAGGTAGACTAATTAGGCAAGCAACCAAGGAGAACATAAGAAACAGCCACACATGTAATGAAGGTTGTGTCAAACTCTTCGTTAAATCATCTGCAGAACATCTTAAATGATCCTCACTTGCTCATTTAAGTTCAAACCTAGTCTAGGGAGGATATGGCCTTACCAAAGTATTTCTAACCAGAGAATAATTGGTAAAAATGCTATAGCTTCATGAAAGAAGAAATGGATTTGGATGGAGGAAAATGTGTTATTTGGAGATTAAGGTGGTGATTCTTCTGTTCATAACTAACAATCGACAACTGTTCAAGGAAAAGGAAGGATGAGGTGAAATGGGGACCTCGTGAAAGAAACAGTAGATCCAAATAATAATATTAATTGGGGACTTGGATACTTGTTTTCCTTGGTAAGGCATTTGGGCATCTAATCCATCAAACCTGGGATTCTTTGCGTGGCTGGCAGCTCATATAAGATCCTAACAATTGGCAACTTGAAAATGAAGGGAAAGCATCCATGAATTGCTTGTATATGTGCAAAGAATCAGGCAAGTCGGCAGATCTTCTCTTCCTGTAACGTGACAAGGGATATGCAGACTTTGGCTTTGTCCTTACTTTGATATTTCTCCAGTTCATCCTAGATATGTGCTGACTTGTTCTTCAGTAGAGCAGAGGAACAGTAAAGAAGAAAGAAGGCCTCAATATGGAGTAAGTGGAGTTAAAGATTTTGTCATAGTTTAATATTTTGAGAAATTTGTTAGTGAATCAATCTTCAATAACTGTTTTTCATTTTATGAAAAAAAAAAAATGGATTCTTTCGTGAATACATAGGGGTTTGGATCGTCTTTATGTATTGGTGTTTGCTTTGTAAGTGGCACATGTACACGGGTATGTGTCCTCATATGTGACTCTTAGTAATATACAACCTCTGTCCCAAAATACATGTCCTGCATGGGAAATCAACTTTTTATAGTAGTGGAGTTCTAATAGTTTTTTATTGTATTGATAAAAGTGAAGTTTCAAATATGCCCTTACTAAAAGACAAAATAGTGCTCCGTAACTAGTGTAGTTATTTAGTTAAAAGGATAATTTGGGAATGTTATAAAAAATAGTACATTCAATTTTGAAATAGGACATGTTTTTTGGGACATCCCAAAATGAAAAGATGGACAAATATTTTGGGATGGAGGGAGTAATTTATTACTTACAAAAAAAAAAAAACAAAGACGTTACAAAATACATAGAGTTCAAAATTGTGAATCATTTTACGCAGTCATTGACTTAAAGTTCTCAATGGACGATGTTTTAAGTTTCAACATATGTATGTATATGTGTGTATATATATATATATTGTGTTTGAAGTTCCAATACAATCTCATGTGTTGTCATCATCATCATCCTTGTCTTTTTTCCAAACGAATGGTGTGGCCACAAATTATATTCAATTTAATCTCAGCTCAATAAAGCAGATTGCAGACTTTATAAGCAGCTAATAAAATGGAGAGGAGGTCAAAACACCAAGGTAACATTGATTACAATCAAAAGGATCAAGAAGGATGGTAATCTGAAAAGTACACCACCAAGAGAGCTCTATTAGCATCTCCTTTGCTTTCCAAATGGAAGGTTGAGGGTTCAAGTCCTCGTGAGGGATAGTTATGTGTGTGTGTGTGTGTGTCTTACCTACCCAATAATAATAATAACAATAATAAAAACAGCAACAATAATCTAAGTAGTACATACCATTTCAACAGCATGCTCAAACAACTCCCTCGCGCGTTCCAATTTTGATTTCCCATATCTTTTGACAAACTTGGAAAGATATGTGACCCATATGTCCTTTACATGCGGATATTTAAAAATCTTGACGCCTCGTTCATATACCTTGAAGGCATCCTCAAAGTATTTATGTTCCTAGAAATATCAAAATAATGAAACATTAGTTCTCAACCCACATAAACCAGAGACTCAGAGAGACAATAGCAAGACAGTGAAAGCTATGTCTTTACCTCCAAAAGCATAGCATAATTAATTATAATTTGTGGTGTGGCTATTCTTAGATCCAATATCCGCTCATAAACTGCTCGAGTTGACTCCAAATTACCAAGGCTTTCCTCCAAATCAACATAGAATGTCCAAAGCCTCAAGGACCTGTGCAGCTTTATCTGCACTGGTTCATTGCCATCAGCAGCCACTGTTGTGTAAAAAGATAGACCAAAGATCCAAAGGTTAGTTATGGTTTCATAAATGCCATATCAAATAAGATCCAACTTTTTAAAAATGAAACTTCTAACCAAATAGAAAAGGTGTGGTTAATTGCTTTCTTTTCCCTTAAAGTTTCCAATGAGGTAACTTCAATACTAACAAATAAATTCATAATCTGAAATCATAATTTGCTAAACAATTAGTCTCCCTCATATTTGATATAAAATACATCTATGTCAAAAACCAAAAGGTGGCCATATAGAGGTGCCAATAAAACCAAATATCTGTTTTTAATAGTAGTTGAAGGCACGTATACAGTTTCCTAGAAGCACATTGGCCAACTTAAAATGGACATGCTGGTAAAATGAAAAAAGAAAGAAGAAATAAAAATAGAGCCACTACACATGATGACTATAAATGCGAATGATGTCATCTACTAATATCCAACAATAAGATTTAAAATACTCATGGTATGAAATAACTTGATTTAAATACAATAGAATGGAACTCTTTTCAAATCTATGTACAAATGATATCTCCAACACCACAATATCTGGAGCGTCATTTATGTGCCCCAGCCACTGCTTTAGCAAAACCCCTAATTTTGCAATTAATATATTCGAATGCCATGTAAAATATAATGAAAAATTCATGCAACGTCCTTACTCCTTATAATTTATAAGGTAAGAGAAAAATAATGGACTATTCCCTGTCAATCAGACATCCATAAACCCTTGGATATACACGGATAGAATCCCACAAAATTTAAAAAGAAGGAAAAAAAAAAAAAAAAACGAAAAGGAAGAGGTTTGTTGTAACGGACTATAATACATAAAACTCAGGAAGAGAATAGTGATATTGGATGAGAATATAGCGATAAACTTGGATGAAATCAAATTACAATAAACTGTAAAAGACAAGCAACCTGTTCGCGAGGACCGTAACCTATTATATAAGAATTTGTTCATTTGACATAGTTGATACCTACAAGGTGCCCGAGCACAGGTGTGAAATGTAATTCAGTAGTTCATTGACACAGCATTATTTCATTAATAAAATCCCATATTCCCATCTAAACAGAAAAATTCAAACATCAGTAGAAGACTAGTTATGTTAACAACTTAGCATATATTTCAATTCTACACAAATCCATAAACTGATAAAGAAAGCATCCATGCATGTCTTTACTTAGATAAATACAGGTGTATAAGTTCATAGTTACATATTCAAATACATTATGTATATACACTTGTGAATATACAATTATATATAAGTAGCCAAGAACAGAACTTCTTCCCTGCAGGCCCAATAAAATTGTCACGAACAACAAGGAACAAGGAAAATCAGTTGAATAGAGGTCCACAAAGCGGAAAGATTAAGCTTGCAAAAAGGATTTTGAAAATTGAAAAGAGGATGAAATTTGTTTTGAAGATAATGAATATTATTTGAGGGCAGTAATGCCAACAAACAAGGAATTGATTTCATGTAAAGGGTAAGTAAAAGTTGTGAACATATCCCCTTATCCCATGGACTATACTTCTAATTCTGTATAGAAAGGTGAAAGTTCATTCACTTCGAAATTCTCGTTTATAGGCCTTGGTCTACCAGTAGCAGCAATATGCCACTTGTGTTGTGGACCTGAAGACTCAAATAATCATCTGTTTATACACTGTCCCTTCTCTAAACAGATGTGGTTTTGGATTTGTGAGTTCATGCATTGGGAGATGCCTACTGTTAACACCTCATCTCACCTTATGGCCTGGGCTATCTCTAAATTCCATAATGATTCTTTCAACAGTAAGGTAGCAAGCTGTTTACATCTTTTGTGTGGCATATTTGGAAGGAAAGGAATTCTAGAGCTCATGATAATGGTTCCAATCCTCCAGAGATTGTTGCAAAGCAGGCTTTGTAGGAGGCCACGGACATCATGGGATGTACCCTAAATGACATTTATGCTACATTGTAGCATCTTTAATTTTAAGTCGGTTTTTTTCTCTTTTACTAATGAGAATATCGACTTGCAATAGCATTGGAAAAGATTGTTGCAAAGCAGGCTTTGTAGGAGGCCACGGACATCATGTGATGTACCCTAAATGACATTTATGCTACATTGTAGCATCTTTAATTTTAAGTCGGTTTTTTTCTCTTTTTCTCTTCCAATGCTATTGGAAGTCGATATTCTCATTAGTAGAGACTTTGTACTGAGAAGGTATGCCTTCTCTTATAGCCGTGTATTTCATTGATTATCCTTTGCAATAAAATCAACATCAATTAGGAATATAATATATATATATATATATAATAACAACAATAATAATAATACATTCAAACCAAATTTAGTGCACTATAGTCGAAAAAACAAATTTATCATGCTTCCTCAGTTAGGAGAATGACAAGTAACTCTAATATAGCACAACTTAACAAGGAAATAATTACCTCTCCTTTTGACCTCTACTGATGGCTCTGCCGTGGCTCGTCTCATAAGCTCCAGTGCCCCCTTAAAATTCTTGTGCTTCAGTTCTATCTCTGCCCATTCACACCAAATACTAGCCAGATTATCCACCGTTTTGTAGTTGACTTGTACAGCCTTATCAAAAATAACTCTTGCATTGACAATATCTTTGTGGCTTTCATATAACTTAGCAAAAGAAACCCACAGAGTATGAGGCTTCCCCACAGCTTTCATGGGATCAACAGTCCTCACTGCCTCGGTGTAGGTCAGAATTTGCCTTGTAGGATTACCCTCGAAAAGCTTTACTCGCCGGTGCCACTGTTCCACATTATGTGGGTTTTGTCGAAGAAGGACACTATTAGCCAGTTCTGGCCTCCTATTCATGAGATGTTCCAATCTTGCCAACCTCAAGTCGACATCTTTGTCATCACACAACCAGAATCTTTTAAGCTTCTCTTCAAGCTTGGGCACATTGAAACGGTCATCTTCATCGTCATCCTCAACAGAACTTTTTTCACCATCATTGTCCTCCTCACTCTCACTCATTTCATCCATCTTCAAAGCAAGCATACTCTCTTCAAACTGTGAGTATGCATCAAAAATCACACTAAAATCCCTTACTGTAACCACTGTAGTCATGCCTTCCTCCAATATATCCCTTGCCTTCTCTACCAAGTTCCTCCTAATATAGTAATCTGCAAGTGAAGTCCAAAGCCGCCCAACCTCATCCGTGAACTTCTTAATTCCTCCGCGAATTATGGCATCCACATTCAAGCCTGAGACTTCCTTGGCATGCTGAGTGAGCAAATCACAAAGCTCAAGCCACAACCTGTGTTTCGTTTTTCCTTTTATGGAATAAAACCGGTCATCATTCAAAACCCCAGCTAATCTCTCAGACGCCTCTTGCCAAAGACACGAATTCACCAAAAATTCTATGAAATCTTCAATATGTGATGGATCATATTTCAAATATCTTCGGTAAACCCTAAGTGAGGTCTCGATTGGGACACCCTTTTGGCTGACAAATACTAAATACGGTTCCCAAATTCGATCGTGTTGGGTCACAGGCCGCGCACACAGAGCACGATCGAAAGTGCGGCGAGTGCGAGTGACGAACTTCTGATGGGTTTGGGTTTGTAAATACATGATCCAAATGCGAGGCATCTTGTGCATTGTGACCAGAGCTCTTTCAAAGGTGTTGTTGAGTGTTTGATACTGTGAGTGTGTGATGGGTAGGTTGCGAACGAGTTCGAGGCGTTCGCGGAGATAAGCGTACCAGAGCTTGTAGCTTCCAGGGAGGGCTTTGAGGGCTCGCTCGTAGATCGTGCGACGTTTCTTGAAATTTGCGTCGGTTCGAGCAATTAGGTAGCGCCACCATAGTTTCAAGCTGAATGGATTTCGGAGGAGCTCTTCTTCGTAGAGGAGGTCGTCTTGACTTGGGTAGAGCTCTTGTGGTATTATTGACATGGCGACTTTAAAACCCTATTACACAAAATCAAGATTACACTTGATTTTAGTTTGCAAAACAAGAAATCAGAGCTTGATTAGTTGATTTAGAAAAAAAAAAATTAAAACAAAACCCATACATACAAGTTAGCAGTTGCAGAGAGAGAGGCGGGCAAGCTCGAGAGTTGAGAGACGGCGGTTGAAGCTTGCGAACGGCGAACCCGAACTGGAACAGCGGGCGATGGAAACTGAAAGATATGGGTTTTGATTTTTTGAACAATCTGAAATATATGCCGATATGGGTTTTGATATAGGTAATAGGTTTTGAACTTTTGATTCTTGCAGACAGATAGATAAACTGAAATATAAGGGTTTTGAACTTCTGATTCTTGTAGATTTTGTAGTTTGCAGTTGCAGAGTTGCACAGAGAGAGAGAGGGCAAGTTCAGAGTTGAGAACGAGATTAGAGATGGAGGCGGGTTTTGAACTTCAGATTCTTGTAGATTTTGTAGTTTGCAGTTGCAGAGAGAGAGAGAGAGAGAGAGGGCAATTTCAGAGTTGAGAACGAGAATAGAGATGGAGGCGATTGGGAGGCTGCATTTTTTTTTTTTTTTTCTTGTGGCCCGTCATCCATGGGCCTATAAATTTTGAGATGAGGCGATTGGAGAGGCTGAAATAATTGTTTCTGCATTCTATTTGTGAGAAGTTTATATAATTTATCAATAATTCTTTCATGTTTTTTATAAATTTGTCATATAAATATTATTCTCGAATTCTTTTTTTTTTTTTTTTCTATTTTTTATTGATAACTTTTAATTTTTAATTTTCAATTTTTAATTTTTAATTTTTAATTTTTTTTTTTCACAAGCAAGAAAACATATTTATTGATTAGAATCAGAAATTACATCCAAACTAGCTTTATGCAAAACAAATTCTGAGAAATTATCATCTCATACAGGTATTTTTCTCTTGTAAAGCATAAGCAGCAACTGCATGTGCAACCTCATTCCCTGCTTTAGGCGTATACACCAAATCAAAATCGGGGTGATGATGAAGCCATTCACGGATATCTTCTACTAGAGGGATAAGTAAAAGAGAGGAAAACCCATCCAACATCGCAGCCTTGACGATGACCTCTGCATCAATCTCAAACACAATACGACTATAACCCCATCGAATAACCTAGTCCATAACCTTTCGAAACACCAAGCCTTCAGCCACTAACGGATCTGAAACTCTTTGAAAGAAAAAATACGTCAATCGCAACACATTTCCCCTATGATCACGCAGAACCATTCCACCTCCAGCCTCACATAATACTTTGCAAAATGATGCATCAGTATTAACTTTAATCGTGTCCACTGGAGGAGCTTGCCACCTAACAGGATTCCCATAACTGTTTTGCCCTGAACAGTGTGATCTCATTGTAGCAAAAGGAGCAACATTGCAATTTAAAAATTCAAAACAGTGAGCTTCTCCAATTCTAACTATCTCCATTGCATCCCACCATTTTTGCCACCCAAGCATTATGCGCCTTCCAAATCTGCCAATAAAGAAAAGCAACCATACTCTTCATCAAGTGCTCCTTACTTAAGCCCGACCAATTCTCCATTTTTGATCTCCACCATCTATCCCACTATCCATGGCCAACTTCCTCCCCATCTAATCTAAGCGTAGAAAGCTTCCAAACCAACTTGGCTCGTGGACACCTATGGAGAAGATGACTAACTGATTCAGGTTCCAAATCACATACTTTACATATAATATCAACCATCATCTTCCTCCGACCCAAACTTTCTAGTACAGCCACATCCTCATTTAAACAACGCCAAAGGAAATGTTTAATTTTTGGCATAACCTTCAACTTCTATAGATGTTTCCATTGCTGTTGACGTTCTTCTATCCCACTTGTTCCACATTCACCTCTGTTGGCATGCCGCATCCCACCTCTTTTTAACTTAAGTGCAACCTGATATGCATATTTTATACTAAAAGAGCCATTTGTTGAAAAAAGCCACCATTGTTTATCCACTCCTTCGGTAACCCGTAATTGGATCTGTAAAATTCTTTTCCAATCTTCTTCTTTAAAAATTTGTTTAATCAGAAACTCATTCCATCCTCCTGTATGTTGATCCACCAAATCAACTACTCTGTAAATGCTAGAATTAGAAGGTTCTAGAGTAGAAAGAGTAGAATTGTTTTTATCTGGAATCCACCTGTCCTCCGAAATTCTAACATTCTGACCATTTACAATCTTCCATACCAGCCCATTCTCAATCACTTTTTTGGCTGAGAGAAAACTTTGCCAGGCCCATGAAGAATTTGAACCTTTTTTAGCTCTGAGAAAATCACAATGAGGGAAATATCTACTTTTATAAACTTGAAAAAACAAACTTTTCCGTTCCACTTGGAGACTCCATGCTTGTTTTGCTAACAAAGCTGTATTGAAAGCTTCCATGTCTTTAAATCCCAACCCCCCATCTGCTTTATTCTCTGTTAATTTCTTCCAGCTAGCCTAATGAATCTTTTGTTTCTCCAGATTGCCACTCCACCAAAACTGGGAAATATTCCTCTTCAGCGTGTTACATATTTTGTAAGACACCTTGAAGCATGACATCGTACAAGCTGGAATAGCCTGAAGTACACTTTTCACCATTGTTTCCTTCCCTCCAGTCGATAAAAATTCTCCTTACCACCCTTTAACTTTAGAAGAAATCTTCCTTTCAATGTAGGCAAAAACTTCAGATTTAGATCTTCCCACAACTGATGGAAGACCTAAATATTTTTCGTTCATACCTTCTCTGGAGAGTCCAAGAATTGTGCGGATAGAATCTCTATCTGAAAGAGGAGTGTTCTTGCTGAAAAATAATGCTGATTTATCCATATTAATAGCTTGTCCGGATGCTAATTCATACCCCTTCAATATCTCTGCCAATCGTTGAACTTCTTCATTCTCGGCCTAGCAAAAAAAGAAACAATCGTCTGCAAAAAAAAGGTGAGAGATTCTGGGAGCTCTATGATAAATTTGAACTCCAGAGAGGGAACCTTATGATAATTCAGCATGCAGAATATTAGAGAGACCTTGGGCACACAAGGGAAAAAGATAAAGGGATAAAGGATCTCCTTATTTCAAACCTCGAGAAGGGATAAACATCTCGTGGGGACTGCCATTCAATAGCACTGAGTAACTGACAGAAGCCAAACAAGTTTTAATCAACTGCACCCATTCCTTTGCAAAGCCCATTCTCTCCATAACTGCTAACAAATAATTCCACTCAACCCTTTCATAGGCTTTACTAATGTCCAATTTCAAAGCAACAAACATATCCTCTCCCCCCCCCCCCCCTTTATTTTTCAAAAAATGTAAAATCTCATGAGCCACTAAAATGCTATAAAAAATAAAACGATCTGGCACAAAAGCACATTGGTGAGCATCAATGATCTTCTCAAGCAAAGGTTTCAATCTATTTGCCAACGTTTTGGAAAATATTTTATAAACCACATTGCATAACGCAATAGGTCTAAACGGTAACACTTTGGTTGGACTTTTCACTTTAGGGATAAGAACGAGATTAGTATGATTCAAACATTTAAGTAAACTCCCTGAGCTTAAAAAATCATTAAAAGCGCTCAAAATATCATCTTTAACCAAACCCCAATACCTTTGAAAAAATAAAGGAGAGAAGCCATCAGGTCCGGGAGCCTTCGGAGAATTCATAACAAACAAAGCATCCTTTAACTCCTCCTCTGTTCCCAATCTCATCAAATTCCTATTGTCCTCCTCTGAAATAAGCTGAGTGGTAGCTTGAAGGAAATTATTGAAATCATAATTTTGCTCTGATTTATACAAATCTTAGAAATAAGTCAGTACGATATGACAAATTTGGCGATCATCCTCACACCAAACTCCTTTAAAATTTTCAAGTCCAGAAATAAGATTCCTCTTCCTTCTTTACTACGTTTTAGCATGAAAAACTTTGAATTTTTATCGCCTTCTTTAAGCCATTGAACCCTAGACTTTTGTTTCCAAAACATCTCCTCGCTTCTCCACAAATTCTTTAAATTTTTACTAACCTCATTAACTTTGTTTGCATCAAAACTACTACTCTGATGAAGCTTCTTCAGGTCCTCCTCATTTTCACGAATCAATTTTCCTGAATTCCATTGCTTTCTCTTACTCCACTGCTTCAACTCTTCTTTACATTTTGAAATTTTAGATCTCATCCGGAACATGAAAGTACCTCGAACATCAAACAACCAAGCGTTCTCTACTGTTGTATGACACTCATCATCCTCAAGCCACCTAGCATCAAACTTAAAAGACTTTACCGGCTTTTGAACTTCTCCCGCAGTATCCAACACCATGGCCATATGATCAAATCCGACAACTTGGACATGTTGAAGAATTGTTTTGGGATAGTTTAACAACCAATATTTATCACATAAGACCCTGTCCAAACGTTCACAAATGTTTGCTACACCTCCTCTCTGATTATTCCAGGTGAAAGGGTAACCTTTGAAGCCCATTTCCAATAATTAACAGTCATTGATAAACTGATTAAAAGATCTCAAAGTCTATATGGGTCTGATTCTACCACCAACCTTATCATTTGTATTAAAATAGTATTATTTCTTTTGCCTATCTAGCATGTATTTCTTTTGTCTAATAGTATTATTTTTTTTTTTGCCTATTTAGCATATATTTCTTTTGCCTATCTAACATAGAAGTTAAAGGTATAACATGAATTTAAAAGAACAATAATATTTTTATCAAATTATTATTTATTTTTATATTACATAGTTAAATCTATAAATTTATTTTTAAAAATATAAAAGTGTATAATAGTAAATTTATTATAGGAATAATTCCATAAAAATGGTGTTTTGAAAGTCAAAGGACAATTAGTTGGAGTCAAAATTTAGTTTTCCAGATTAATGGAGTTTTCTCGAATGCTGACCTGGACATGAAATTTTACTGTAGATTATTTTTTCATTCCCAAAGTGTCCATCTTATCTTGTTGCGAATTGACCCAACTACCCCTTCAAGCTAACCGAGACCCAAAAGCCTGTGCAGCAGCATACCCTCAAGGAGTTGGTGACCAATGGACGACTGAGATGAGGAACTTCTCAACAGGACTAAACGGCGGTGTGGATCGGCATTGGAGAAGTGACATCATGGCGATGAACTAGGTTTTCACGGAACAGGTTGACGGTGATGTGGGCAACAATGAGCAAGGATCAGATTGTCAGTCATGGTGACTGGAACAGCGGACGACAACTAAAATATAGCCGGCAGAGAGATTAGAACGGTTGTGAGTAAGGAATACCTCACCGGCGATCATAATATAAGGGCCTGAACCTCGGGCTAAAGAGGATTCCAGCGAAGACAAAGGACGGTGACCAAGTGGGCAGCAAGCAAGGAATGACTGGTGACCGAACCAGCAACTCCAATGCACATACGATGAACAAGGATGGCGAGAAATAACGGGCAGTGACCTTGGAACGGTCAGCGAGGATGATGAGAGCTGCAAAAAAAAAAAAAAAAGTGATCTTGAAAGTTGAAATTGTGATGCCGGCAAAGAAGAGGTGTGGCATCGGCAACAATGGTAAAGCTTGTGGTGCCACGGTGAACTCGGTATGAACCGGTGGTGAGAATGAATGGCCAACAAAAAACAATTTCTGA